CCCCCCTCCCTCCCCCTCCCCCTCCCTAAGTCTAATACAAGACTCGGAAACATTGTCGAGTCGCGCGGATCTCATCTGAAACTGAGATTGATCACGGCATGGCGGATCAGCCGACGATTACCTCGCGGGAAAATCGAAATTGATTTTTGTCGCGGCGTTTTTTCTTTTTTGTTCGGAGATTTACGCGTATCGGAGGGTAGTTGCCACTCTTCGCGGGTCATTTTCTCGGAAGCAAATCCGCGCCGGCCGGACTTTGAACTGGACATCATTTCAGCATTTTGTTTCAGGATGCGCCGGTGAGCAGCCGGGTGATTCGCGAGGTTCGAGATGTCCGCCGTAACCAGCCCGTATGGCCCCGGTAAGACACCTTTTAATCTTGAACTGATCTTTAGATGTTAAGTGTTTTCGCTGTACGTTTGAAATTTAGCACGAAAGATTTTTCGTCAAAGCGTTGAGATTTTTATAGTGACTTCAATAACAATTTAGATTACAATAATCATGAACGTATCTGTTTTCGTTTATGGTACGTTGAGGTCAGGAGGGGACCCGTTACTATGCTATTATGTTGTTATAGCCGATGATTTTCCGCATTTATGCTAAGGACTCATCCTACGCGGATCACACCGGAGCGATCATTTCGGTGCGTCTAAGTGAAAGCAGTTAAATGCCGCGTCGCGGGAACGTGAATCTCGCAGCATTAATTTTACGAAACTATCGCGTATATACGCCGCCACCACTGACGTTCCGAGAAGAAAACGTACGCTTAAGCATTCGAGTTCGCGGGATTGTAATTGACGCTAAAAGTTGATATCTATTAACTGCGATATGAGAAACGAGCGACGCGCTACGCAGCATCGCCTTGAAACGCCGCGGCATTCGTTACGCGGAATTAGTGACCATTGTCGCCTCTACCTTCGCAATGCAAATACCGAGGGATACATTGCTCACTCCAGATCACTTTTATTTTTATTCGCGATATTCCCCGAGTTATATTCGAGCGGCTGACGGCCGCTCGGATGTAAAAATGAGGCGAGGAACAGCTTGAGACCGGGCCTCCTCACTCGGTCCTTACGCATGCCATTAGCGGTTGAGAAATGGAACGATAGAATTATAAGTGGCTTATCCAAACAAGACAGCGATCGAGTGAATTTCATCTTTCATCAGCGGAGATGCTTTCCGATTCGGTCTACAACTACGCGACGACCCGACGGGGCGCCGCCGATCAGGACAGCGACTCCCAGTACGAGGGCCAAGCCCAGTTGCAAATCACCAGCAGCATCCAGAGCAAGCCGCGGAACAAGCGGAAGAACTTCAAGCCGATAAGCAGCCGGATGGCGGAGGTGTCCGACGAGTCCGAGAGAGATGACGACGAGCCGGAGGTCGTGGAGGAGAGTTCCAGCGAAATCCTCGAGTACGAGAGGAAGACGATGCTGCTACCAGCCGGAGAGGAGAGGTCGAAGCAAAGATTAAACAACAACGAGGTCAGTCCGATGGACCTCTCGGTCACCACCAGACCGCCGTCCTCCGATGCCGACGACGACAGCGCGGATTCTCTCAGGCATAAGTTCATCCTCGAGCAGCTGAGGTCGCAGAAACTTTATTCCCCCGGTACAGAGGTAGGTTGCGATCAATCTGATCTCCCGTTTTTTTTCTGATTTCCCATTTTTATTTAACGAGCTATTCTTCAGGCGAGGAGCCCGAACTCTGATTCGTCGGAAAGAAGCGGGAGCGGTGTCCTGGACGCGGAATCATCTCGCTTGGATGATCAGGACACGCAGTTCGACGATGAGCGGGGTAACGACGCCGATGGTGAGGTCGAGATCGAAGAACGGAAACCCTTCGAGGGCATGAGGGAGTACGCGGAGTCGACGATGCAGGAACTTCTGGCGATCTACGGGTTGGCAGGAGGCGAACTGGCAAAGTCGGTCAGCAGACAACCGCCGCCCACGTTTCTCAATCCGAATACCGGCCAGCAAGCTCAAGGTAAGTAATCCTTTAAAATTCAGCGATTTAAACTCGCTCGAATAAATGAGAAATCCATGAAACTTCGTCGATACGTGAAGTTACGTGGGATAATTTTCAAATTTCACATACAACGATTATCTCGAGTACCATCTCGAGTTCCGTCACTCTAAAAATTTAACTCCGCCATTTTGATGGACGGCTATTATTCAATGGCAATTAGAACCGCCCGCATTGTCATCCGACAAAGTTGTTAAACGGATCGGAATACGTGGATTGGTTGGCATCAAATTTGGGGTTGGCATAGAATTGATGATTGGCCGCGACTGGTTGACGTTCGAATCTTGGCCGAGGATCAAATCCGCGCCTCGCTGGCCACGAGACTTATCGATCGACGAAATTCCGATGCTGTCGGCGCGCTTTCGGCGGACTGGTGGATCGAACCAATTTAAATTTGCTCCGGCCAAAAAAACGAGACGAATTAATATTTGCGACAAGGGTGAGCGGGTGTGTTCTCCCGGCGATTCGTCGAACTGATGATCGCTGGTAGTCGCGATCGTCATTCGATACAACCGTGAATTAGAAGCCTCTATGCCGAGGCGACGGCGCGGTTACGTCAGACGGCATCGCGATAAACGCGAATGCACTTCTCGCGATATGTGTGCTCGCGCGTAGATGAGGGGAGAGGGGAAGCGGGAAGGCAGCGGAGCGGGGGGGAGGGGAGGGGGGAGGCTCCGTTCGAAGAGCCCGGCGGCTTTCGACCGGGACTGTACGTGCACCAGAACAGAATGTGGCACTTACATATTGCCGGTGCATCGCATATGTGCGCACGTGAATATGTGATGGCTCTCGCAAGATGGCCGACTTATAACTCATAAAGTCGGTCGGTCCCGACTGTGCGCTAAGCGTCGACCGCCCGACCCGCGATCGATGGATGCCTTCGAGATCAGCCAGCGTCATCGTTTCCCGTTGCCGGCGACCAGCGTGGGTTGACGCTCTCGAGAATTCCCTGCGGTCCGGAATTCTCAAGTTCTCGCTTCAACTCACGTGTTTCTTCCCTCTCTCTCTCTC